CTGAACTCAGGATGTTTCTCTTTAAGTGAATTAGAATGATGGCAAGACTAAGGATAAGAGTATTCTGAGGTAGCCAGGAAGGAGGAGGCTGCCCATCCTGGAAGAAGCCTTATAGGCAATAAATGGGAAGTCTGAAGAATGGTACAAAGATATAAATAGAAATAAAATAATCAAAAAAGTTAAATAAAGAAGAAACTCACTGTATTCAAAATATAGYTTCTGACCTAATGAAGGAACAGAGTTCCACAGATATGTTGCCTAAATTGATGCTATGAAATATGCAGATTTGGCCCTATGCTATAACAACTTAGATGAAAAAGAAGGTAAAGAGATATATTTATATACTTATTATACAGAATAAGATGCAGAACTACAATTTAGAGATACTGATGGAAGTGGTGAACACAAATGAGAACAAGAAGGTAAAGAAATGAAGCAATAAACCCAACAGATTATGAACATGGCTAAACGAACACATATATGTTTACCCTTACACATTGGTTATAATATTGTTGAATGAGCAGGAAAATGAGAAGTTTAACAAGGAAGCCTGTTTGGTGAGTTGCTCTTTAGAAAACTATTATATAAGACACACTTAAAACCACATTTAAATGTGTGTGTGTGGGCAATATTTCTTCCTACCAAGAGCAGATTTTAGGAAAGAAATATAAGTTCATGCWGCATAACTTTTGAGTCATTCCAGTGAGTGCATGACTGGAGAAAAGGAAACAACTCCCTTCAACAAATTGGCCAAACCAATATGCCACAAGCCGATCACAGAATGAACTAAGACCCAGTGATTCATTCTATTTTGAGGGAGTACAGGTAACACAGTAAATCGAGTAGAGTATATAGGCCTGCTGCCAAAACAGGGCCTGGGCATGCACAATGATGAGAGTAGATATGAAGTGGATGATTCAGTCTCCAAGACTACGGGGTATCACATAAGCAAAGCCATGTGGGCTATTATCTAATACTTTGATTCACACCACAATCATTATGCTAAAGAGTTCACATTTTTAAAATAAAATTGAACTGCATTGAGTACAAGCTCATCATATTTAAATGGATAAAGTGATATCTCAATCCCTTTCATGGGTTATATAGAATGTAAGAGTGCTTTATTAAAGACTAAAGTAAAATCTATAAAGGGGAGTTGGGTACCATGGTGCACAATTTATAACACCAGCTATCTGTAAGCTTGAGGCAGGAGGATCGCAAGTTTGAGGCCAGCTTGGTCAACTTAGCAAGACCCTGACTCAAAACAAACAAACAAAAAAATTAAAAATTAAAAAAAGGACTAGGGGCGTGGCTCACTGATAAAACATTCCTACTATCACAAAAACAACAAACGAACAAAAACTACAAGAGGCACTGGGCCTCAAAGTTTGCAATTGTGATATTGTAGCCGAATACAAGGATGATAGCATGAGGAAAAAGCTAACTAAAACACACACACACACACACACAGTTTTACACTGATTGGACTTAGTTATAGTCCTTGTCCACTTATTAACAAGGGCTGGGATGTTTCTGTTTCTTGTGCTTAACACATAATTCCAAGAGAATTAAAGCAGATTGTTTTCAACTGCTATGTATCACCAGAAGTGGATTCACAATTACCTTCCACATCAGGTTAAGTTCAAAAGGGATTTGGATATCAGGAGTAATTGCTGCTGACTGTGAAGAGAAATTATTTCTACTTCTGACAAATTTGGTTGCTATAACTTTCTCTTTGGAAAAAAGTGACAAATCATCACATTTATTATTTCATACTAATGCCCTATTCTTATTATATCTGAAATAAGGGGAAGGAAAAAATGAGGAGCACGACTAAAAATACTGTTCTAACAGCGTGAGAATCTTTAAGTCAGGTAACATTATGGTAAATGGGCAAGGAATAATCACTAGTCACTCTTGAGGAAAATGGGACCCTTGTTGCATTATTCAAATATCATTCATGCCAAGTCTAAAGCKAAGGAAAGAAAAGGGGGAATAAGTTGAAAGGGAGTTCTCCACTGTTGGTTTATTAAAATCATAGAGAAAATACAACTAGTAGAGGGTGGAGAACTCAGAATGGTTATCACCTAAAATTACTTTGAATAGGAATAAAAGAATGGATTGAAAAATTATTCGTCTTATTTCTCACTTTTGGAGTTCTGACTCTTTCACATATATCATTTTTATAACAGATTTTTTTTCTTTGGCAATTTTGTAAGAAAAGAATCTCCCTGCATATTACATCAATGAGTAGATTAAGAAGAAACATATTGATTTAACAGGTATTWAAAAAAATCACTTTTGTAGGATTACAAAACATACTTTGATTAAAAACTGTCACGATGTGACATAAACATGCTTACTATCTTACTTCACATAATGCTATTATGAACAATTTCCATTAAAGACAGGAATAAAATATTATACCCATTACTACATAATATTATCCTGGAAATTCTGGCCAATTCAGTAAGAAGCAAAATGGTAATAAAAGACACACCTTATAAAAAGCAGGGAAAATTCCATAAGAATACAGACTTTGACATTAAGCAGACCCAGGTTCAAGTCCTTCATCTGCCCTTACTGGAAATGTGACTTCATATCATCATCTTTTCTATATCTGCTTTGTAAAGTTGAAAGATTAAACAAAGCAACATGATGATTATAATGAACCTAACATACTATAAATAATAAGTTGGAAGAACTGTTATCTGATGTCTATCATGACCATTTGCCAATGAGATAGCTGCATGCTAAATAAAGACTCAGAAAATCAACTGAAAATTGGTAGAAGAGGAAGAATCACAGCATAAAAGATAAGCAAAACCCTAAAATTTCTCCAAATATTAGCACTATTCTCTTAGGGGAGGAAAAAAAAAACTTTAAAAACAAGGCATGGAGGGACTAGGGTTGTGGCTCAGTGCTAGAGCACTTGCCTAGCACATGTGAGACACTGGGGTTCATCTTCAGCACCTTATGAAAATAAATAAATAAAACAAAGGTATTATGTCCATCTATAACTTAAAAAAAAGAATTTATGACATGTAATTATAAAATATTTAGAAATAATCTTTGTAAGACATACAACAGATATGTATAAAATGATCAAAATTGTTTTGATATAAAAGAAACAATGAATAAGGGTACAAATTTAATGTGTTTCTGGATAAACTATTGTAAACATACCAGTACTTATCATRTTAAAAGTAATACCAACAAAAATTCCAAAAAGAAATAAAATTTATCTTAAAATATATTAAAAATTAAAACATATTCTGAGAAGACCCAGAGAAAAACCCACACACCTACAGTTATCTGATCCTTGACAAAAGTACCAAAAACACAAGAGAAAACACAGCCTTTTAACAAATGGTACTGGGGCAACTGATTATCCACATGTAGAAGAATGAAACTAAACCCTATCTCTCACCCCACAAAAAGTTCAACTCAAAATGGATCAAAGATGTAGGATTTAGAACAGAAACTATGCTACTCCTAGAAGAAAACATAAAGTCAACACTGTAGCATATAGTCACCGGCAATAACTTTCTAAAAAGGACAACTAAAGCTCAGGAAATAATGTCAAGAGTTAATAAATGAGATGGGACCAAGTTAAAAAAGATTCTACACTGAAAATAAAACAATTAGGAACTTGAAGACAAAATCTACAGAATGGGAGAAAATCTTTGCTAGCTATTCTTCTGACACAAAATTAATATCTAGAATATATAAAGAACTCAAAAAACTTAACATCAAATACCCAAATAACCCAATTAATAAGTGGGCAAATGAATTAAACAGTCACTTCTCAAAAGAAGAAATAAAAATGGCCAACAAATATATGAAAAAATGCTCAATATCATTAGCAACTAGGGAAATGCAAATCAAAATTACCCTGAGATTCCATCTCATACCAGTCAGAATGGCAATCATCAAGAATAAAAATAATAATAAATGCTGGAGAGGATATGGAGGACAAGGAACACTTTTACACTTCTAGTGGGATTGCAAATGAGCACAGCCACTATGGAAATCAGTATGGAGGTTCTTCAAACAACTAGACATGGAACCACCACATGACCCAGCCATATCACTCCTCTGTATTTATCCTAAAAATTTAAAGTCATCGTACTATAGGGATATACATATGCATATTCATGTTTCTAGTGGCATAATTCACAATGACTAAACTGTAGATAAAAAAAGTGGTATATACACACAAGACAGTTTTATTTAGCCATAAAGAAAAATGAAATCATGTCATTTGTAGAAAAATGGATGGTACTAGAGACTGTTACAAAATAAGCCAAACTCAAAAGGTCAAGGGTTATATGTTTTCTCTCAAATATGAAAGCGAGAGAGGAAAGAGGAAAAGAAAGGGACCAGAGGGAAGAGAAAAGTGCTAGGGAGTGATACTGACCAAATTATATTGATGTATTATTGCATGAGTGTATGAATAAGTRACAATAAATCTCAACATGTACAACTATAATGTACCAATAAATATGTGGAAGAAAAAAAAGCCCACCAAAAAAGACAAGGCCAAAACACATATTCTGAGTCTCTAATACAATAAGATTCTGATAGAACAAGCAAATAGAGAAATAAAGTAGAAGAGAAAGCCCTCCCCCCAAAATACCTTGCTGCACATATACTAGGGGTTAATTTTCTAGTGTATATGAGAATCTAACAAATCTTAAAGGTAACATTCTAAATAAGTGGCAGAAAGAAGGTGTCATCATTACATGATGATGGGACTTTACTATTTGGAAATATGTAAATAAAAAATTAAATAAAGTTGTTACCTCAAATCAAATCCTAAAGAAAACTTCCTAAAAGATTATCCTTAAATATGAAAGAGAAAAAAAAACAGATAAGAATGAGAATTTTAAAAAAATAGAAAAAAGGAATTAAAAAATTTTATAATACTGATTTCCAACACAGTAGCAAACAGAAGAACAATAAAATAAACAGGATTAAGAATATGAGTTAAATCTTACATGCTCTTCCCACACTTTCTTTTCTCTTTCATATGCTTCCTTTCTCTTTCTCTCTAGTTGTTCTTTTAGTACAGCAGCACGTGCATTTGCTTGGGCCTGAAAATAAAGACAAAATTAGTTATCAGAAAGAGGACATGTGGTTTCCTTTCTATGCAAGTCTAAAAAGATACTGACTTATTAGCCACAAAGAAATGTGCATGTAAGCTCACTCTATATCCCCAATACCTTGAATCAGGCTTGACATACAGCAGGCCTGTCATACAAGCTCACTAAATATTTACTGAATTAAAATAAATGCAAGTACATTTGAATGAAAATTAAAATGTAAAAATATTTATTATATAAAATTTCATTTATCTTCAGAGAAATAGATAACTGTGTATTTCATTTTTAAGGTTATTGTTTTTTCTTTTTAGGATTACTTGTGTCATACTTTTACATATTTATGCCATGACTATGTTCAACTATTATTCATAAATATGTTATACACAGAAAAACACTGTATTTCAAAAACCAATCAGTAAAAGATGAAGTGGAAGGAAAAATTAAAGCAAATGAATAATGTGTTCTAACTATGAAAAACTTAGGAACATAACTTTCTATTTCAATTTTCTCTAGAAAGTGCAAAATTATTTCTAGTCTATACCTTAAGTGATTCAATTTTTTTGCGCCTCAAATCAGCTTCCTCGCTTCCTTCTTGTCCTTTGGAATTATYCGTTTCTTTCTACAAAATAAGTAGATAAGCATACCACTTAGGACAAAACCATCAAGTTCAGTGCAGAGCTCCATGACAGATAATATGAATACTGACATTTAAAAATGGGAAATCATTCAACGCTGTTAATTTTCTCCCAAAGCTGAAAATGAAKTCTCACAACTATCAACCCTRTAGACAACTGAACAAAACGTTAAAAACAGAATGATATAAAATGCACTTTAATCCTTTGAAGGATAGTGGATAATTCTGTTCTCTCACAATTCCTCTGCAAAAAAAAAAAAAAAAAGTTCTTATCAAGTTAAAATCATATAAATACGACTTACTTTATTCCCTGAACAACTGTGTGTGTGTGTGTGTGTGTGTGTGTGTGTGTGTGTGTGTGTGTGTGGTGCTGAGGCTTGAACCAAGGGCCTTGTACGTGCAAGGCGAGCATTCTACCAACAGAGCTATATCCCCAGCCCGGAACAACTTTCATGTTCACTGTATTCATCTTTTTGTTGTTGTTGTTATTGGCATAGCATTTCTAATCTTAAACTAATTTTAATCTAATCTAATGATTAATAATATCATTCAGTTACTTTTTATTTATTTCCTTTATGGCAGTGCTAGGATTTGAACCCAAGGCCTCAAGCATGCTAGGTAAGTGTGCTATCACTGAGCTATGTTCCCATCCTCGATTACTTTTTATAAAGTCTCAAACTACCTTTTCACCACGAAGTCTGGCTTTAATCTGCTGGCGCTCATTGAAATTCTGTAGTCTTATTTGCCTTAGTCTTGCCAGATAAACCTACAAAGAAGAAAAACACACAACATATTCATGTAAAAGAAAAACTATTAACATTTTTACTGCTAAAAAATTTATAATTCAAGGGAAAGTGTTAATCTGAATATAAGAAATAAAAGTTCKGAAATCTGGTTAACAGAAATGTAATATTAGCTTTCAAGTGCTTAATTTAGAGCAATTTATTTCTGAAAAGAAAGAAATATAATTAAAAATTTTTAATTTGATCAAAAGAAAAAAATTAAGCTTACAAGACTGAATAACAGTTATAAGGCAAAATTATGACACAGCATGTCAGTTAAATTATAGTAACAGGTCCCTATAAACTTACAAAATCTTTAAACAATTGTTAAGAATTTAAACCATGCAAGAAAAGGAGGCAATAAACTCAAAAAAATGGCTGTGTGATGGAGGTAGCGAACATGCGGGAAGCATACCTCTTCCTCTTTGTTTCTTGGCTTCCCTCCTCTTGAAGAGCTGGACCTGCCTCCATACATAGCTGCCAGGTTTTGCAGGATTCCCTGTTTATCATTTAATGTACTAAGTTTAAAGAATGACTAAGGCTATGCCATCATCTTACCTATGAATAGCCATGTGCCACTTAATTTCCTTTGGGCAAATACTGACCATTTCTAGATGCTAAACTCTAATAAAAATCGTGGCATTTTCCTATATCAATTTAGCAAATACATTTAGTRAGAAGTGAAGAAAGCAATTAAGTCTCAAATATAATCATTCAAAACAGAGACCAGTTGTTTTTATTACTCAATTAAGAGGGTTTTAGAACTGCTTTAGAATTAGGTAAACACTAAATCGATTTTTTCCTCTAAAAAAGACCCAATTCATTTCTTTATGTCTGTGAATCAATCTCTCACACATGCACAAATATTTGAGCTTACTGTTCTTGAATTCAACAAATGTGTTGTATATTAAAAAATGAAATTCTGAATCATGATTAGTAATGAAATCTGGTAAAATGAAACTTTTTGGTCTCAGTCATGTCCTGTTACTATTCTGGAAATTATCATACCCAGGCACAAGCTTACTTACTTTTGGCTATAATTTACCACTAATGTGAAATTATCTTTTTAGAAATTACTAATATTCTTCAGTAAAACTATCAGATTGTCAAATTATTTACTCTTTTTTTTTTTAGCATGTAAGTGTGCTTCAAGATTCTCCCCCCAAATTCTTAGTCCTACTTCTCATCAGCTTGTTGTACTTTTTTATGCTTATACATCTCCCTTTTCCTGATGGCAGTTTGATTTTTTAACCCCCTGAAATCTAGTTTCCGATTCATGATTCTGAAAAAAWTTTAAGGTCACCAATCACTCAGAAGTGATTTAAATTGAGTCTGTTGAGACATTTTTGCACTTACTTCCACTGAAAAACTGTTTTGACTGAATCCATTAAATTGAGTATATAATACTTTTCTCTTATAACAATATATATTCACTGTAGAAAATTTATAAAATAAGGAACTGTGAATCATTTATAATTCTAATATCTGAGAACYTGTAATTTAAAGACATTCTAAATTTCCTTTTATTCATATGTATGAATGTATACGTATTTTAACAAAAACTAGGATTTTACTATTTTTTATTAATGTTATATTCTATCTTTTCCCATATTCAATTAATACTTCTTATAAAAATTACTCTTAAATGACTAAACACTATTCACAATATTCTACTTAATAAATATTCTGTAATTCACATGTTTTTAAGAAAAAGTCTATCTTTCAGTATTTATAACAGCAATCTCTCCTAGGTTCCTCTATCTTTGCTGTTTTTCACAGGCATYTTTTTTCCTTTCTTGGCTCCTTGCTAAATGTCACTGTTTTCTTGAGTTTCATTCTCTGGTCCTTCTCTTCTCATCCCCAGATTTTAACATATGTTGCTGATTCCCAAAATTAAATCAATCTCCCACCCAGCTACTCAAGAGGCTCTGTCAGGATGAGGCCTCTGGGGAATACAGAAGGCCCTGTCTCAAAATACCACCATCAAAACAAAACTTCATAGTGCTTTTTCTTCTGAATTATAGAACTTGGGAGTTTACTAAACTGTCATCTGGACATTCCACTTTTATGTAGCAAAGATACCTCAAACAATTTACAAACCTGACTTTTTAATCCACTTTTCTTTTTTTACTATGTTTTTTTATTCCTAGCTTATGCTAAGCCACATGAATCAGCAAGACAGGAGTTATCTTTTCCTCTTTCTTACCAACAATATACAAATGACTGCCACATTTCCAATCCGATCTCCTAATCCTCATAATTTATACCTTTAATTTCTGTCTTAGCTCAGGATTTCTTCTCTTGAATTTATAAAAAATTTTCCTAACTTAACATCTTACTTCTAGTCTCCCGTCTCCAATCTATTCTTAAAAGATATTTGAAGTTACCTTTCTATAATTATTTTTCACACCAGGTCTCACATAAGTCTTTCAATGGTTCCCATTATTTTCAGACTTTAATCCATTCTGTTGAATGGCAGATTCATTTCTGTCCCTACTCAATAATAAATCCTACATTCTAGTCAAAAACCGTGTGTGTGTGTGTGTGTGTGTGTGTGTGTGTGTGTGCATACACACATACATGCATACATACATATAATCTCACTGGTCATCTTAAAATGATTAACTCTATTCATCTTGCAAAACTCAAATCAAATATCCCCCTGAAAAGTTTTGCCAAAGCTTTCTGTAGTGAATCAAGTTGCCTCCTCTGACCTACATATCAATGTTTATGTAGACCTCTCACAGCAGTACTCATTAGCATAGTATACTATGACAGTTAAGAACATGGTCTACAGACTATGAAGTCTATCCCATTCATGTTTTTGCCAATGGCAACCTTACGCAAAATTACTTAAACTTGCTAAGTCTGGGCATAGTAACAGCATGTACTTCAAGGATAATAAAGAGCAAAAAAAAAAAATTACTGTATGAGCATGTTCTGCCTTTTTCCTCTTGAGAAAACACTTTCAACTCACCCAGTTCACCCCACCTTCAAGAAGGTCCTGGAATCAGCTTATCAGTTATTTGAGCTTTGGGGATATAGGTCAGAGTTGGGGAGGCAAAGGGAAATAAAAAATAGGCAGTAGTACATAATGATATGAGGTGAACTAAAAAGATATGGAAGTATCTATGGCRTTCTTGGAAGTGAGCTGAGTATTACTATGGACTTTTATCTTTCTCAGTATTTGAGAAATAGAAGAATCTGAGTAACTTTGAAGTTAAAAAAAAAAAGTGCTCCTTTTTCAGTTCATGTTAAAAAACTGCCTGGTCAAAAATGGCCCTAAAACTATCTTCTGTCCCCCTTTTTTAAAGAAGTTTTATGTTTTATATCAAAACCTGATTGAGAGCTGGGGTTGTGGCTCATTGATCTACATACCTATGCTTTCACTAGTACTAGATTATGTTGATTACTATAGCTAGAAATCAACCTTAACATTAGAATCATTCCTTTTTWAAAAAAAACATAATTGTTTTTGTCCATTTTAGGACTAAAATTAATTTTATGTATTTGAGGGGTACTGGTAGAGCACTTGCCTAGCATGTGTGAGGCACTGGATTCAATTCTCAGCCCCATATATAATAAAATAAAGGTCCATTGACAACTAAAAAGTATTKAAAAGAAACCTGATTATCAGTCTTGAGCTATTTTATAAGGTGTGAAGTTTAGCTCAAGGTTCTTCTTCTTTTGGCAATGGATGTTCAACTCCTTCAGCAATAATATTGGAAAGACTGTCCTTCTTCCACTGAAGTGTTTTTCTTTGTGAAGAGCAAATCAGGCATATTTGTGTGGATATGCACTAAGCTGTTCCACTGATCTACATACCTATGCTTTCACTAGTACTACATTATATTGATTACTATAGCTAGAAGTCAGCCTTAACATTAGGATCATTCCTCTTTTTTCATCACAATTTTTGTCTATTTTAAGGCCAAATTAAATTAATTTTATATAAATTTTATTTATTTGAGGGGTACTGATGATTGAACCCAGGGGCACTTAACCACTGAGCGCATCCCCAACCCTTTCTTATTTTTTAAGACAGGGTCTTATCAAGTTGTAAGTCTCCTGCCTCACCCTCCAGAGTTGCTTTGGTTGTAGGCATGCTCCATAGTACCTGGTTATCATATGAATTTTAGAACAAGCTTGTCTATATCTATTGAGAACTTCTGGAATTTTAAGAGTAATTACATTGAAGTTCCAGGGAAATTTAAGAAAAACTACCATTTTTACTATGTGAAGTCTTCTAACTCATGAACATAGTATGACTTTCCAAATTTTGTGATTCTTAGCATCTGGGGTTGTGGCTCAGTGGTAGAGCGCTTGCCTAGCATGTGGGAGGCACTGGGTTCAATCTTCAGCATCATATAAAAACAAATAAATGTCTATCAACAACTAGAAGAATTTTTTTTAAATTGTGATTTTAATGTCACAAATCTTGCAGATATCTTGTTAGATTTTCTTTTTTCTTAATTTTGTCTGAAGTACCTATAAGTAGGATTGCATTTTAAAAATCAGTTTCCACTCAATGTCAGTAAACAAATTCAATAGATTTTTTGTTTATCTTATAACTATAATTAATTCTTTTTATTTCTAGAATTTTGATAGAATTCTTGGAATTTCCTATGCAGATACTCGTTACTAAATAGCATTGATTTTATTTCTTCTTTTCAAATCTATGTTTTTCTTTTCCTTGCCTTATTGCAGGAACTAGAACCTATAGTATTATGACAAATAAGAGTGGTGAGAGCACACATCATTCCCTTTTCTGTGACTGTGGAGGGAAAGCATTCAATCTTCTACTTGCAAGTATGATGTTATATTTAGGTTTTTTTGTAAATGCTTATTATGAGATTGAGGATGTTTCTATTTCTAGTGTAAGAACTTTGATCATGAATAGGTCAAAAGATTTCCTTTATCAATTGATATATGATTTTTTTCTTCTTCAGCTTGTGGATACACGGATCACACTGATTTTTCTAACACTGAAATAAACTTGTAATATCCTGACTAARTTCTACTTGGTTGTAGTGGGATTCAACTTACTAAAATTTGGTTGGATTTTTTCATCTAAGTTCATGAGAAAYAGTGATCTATATAGCTTCCATTTTCATGTCTGTTTGTTTGGGTGAGTCTGTTTGTTTTTATCTGTTTGTTTGTTTTTTGGGGTGGGTCTCTTTCCACAGCTGAGAATGATTCACTGCACTACTATTTTTTGAAAGACAACTTATCACTACATTGAATTGGTGTTGTTCTTTGAATGTTTAGTAAAACATTCCACTCCAGTAAAAACATGAAGGCCTGAGAATTTCTATTTCAAGAGCTTTAAAATCACAAATTAAGTTTCAAAAATAGTTACAGAGTTATTATCTATTTTTTGCTAGTTTATGGCCTTTGAAAAATTGGTCATATTTATTCTTAATTTGTTCTAAATTATTGAATTTATAAAGTTGTTTTTTATTATCCTTTTAATTGCTATAAGATCTGTAGTGACATCAT